AATGAATGTACAAAAAATAGTAACACAAAACGCTGAGAACTTTCCCGGATAACCTAATAGGTATCTTTTACGAGCAGGGACTAGAGCTCGTCTCTGGATCCCTTGATGTGTTCAGTTTGTGGAGAATGGTCAGAAAAGAAGTGTATACATAGTCGTTGTTCGAGAGCAGTGACGATATTCATCATTAAAGCGTTGCTATCGAGTCCCGGAAACGTTGAGAGACCACTACAACCACTCCGTTTATGGTTCTGTTTACCATACAGAAAGGTTTCGAGGCTTCGACCAATGTTCCTCGCCTTGCAACTGAACCATCTTGTTTCTTGCACAGCACACAGGTCTATTCGTTTGCGCTCTGGTGCCTCCGCCATCACACGAGCGTCCCGTTAGCATTCCAACTTTCGACGTTGCTACGCGGACTTCCCCGACGTAGATTGGACTAGGCTATCTAACCCCTTGACCCCTCCTCCTTCCCCCGATGCCGTCTTTACATCAGGCACCCACGTAAGCCTTTTACACACACTAGGTCTTGCAGTGCGCGTCGGCTTCTGCGAACGCCGTAGCATTAACTGCGATTCCATTTGCATATTAAACATTGGCGGTGTGACATTGGTGTTCGGATGTTTGTAGGCCGGCCCGTCACGAAGGCGTGTCACTTGCTTTCAAATGTCCGCTTCGGCTCAGGCCGCAAAAGCGGGTAGTTTCCAGTGGCACCACGTGGAGGAACGGTTTCCCCAGTGCAGCAATGAAGGAAATTTAAGAAATGAATATCTAGCTATACAGAATTAAAAGATCAAACCTGAAAAACCATACATTACCCTTGTCGGAGCGATGACTCCATAATAATATTATAATCAAAAAGGGTACAATTCAACCTAGCGGGGGTGTTCATTGAAGCCTGTGCAGGCTACCTTGTGAAGGAGCCCGATTTTTCTGTGATTGCATTAGGCCACTTGTACTTGTGGTCTTTGGGAGCATCACAAGGAATAACAGCTGTTGCCAAAGTGAGGTCTGCTAGCCAGCATGAGCTAATGAATAAGACTTCCCTACCCCTCCCCAAACAAATAACGCTTCAAAAAGACCCATTGTATGGCTACCGCTCCTATGAACTTTCAGGTACATACGCACCATGGAACTCACAAAATACTTTGTTTCATAAGAAGGCCTTTTTCACTCTTTTCCTGCCTACTACAGTGTCTTTTCGGTAGGTTTGCCATGTAAACCTTTCACTGCTATTGATATTAATTACTAGTTAAGTACGACGGACATATGGCGGTCGTATATAGCCCAAAAGCTTCTGCATATGATCGGAGAGACAGTGGCGTTCTATCCACCCAATGCTGTGCAATATAGAAATGCTCATGATTACCTGGCCGATTTCGAGGATGAAAGGTACGCTTTGCCTTCAAGAAAGCCTGGCACAGGCGTCCGCAGAACATGTACTACTGAATTTTAGCGCTCAGGTGATGCGATATTTGCTTCAAAGACACAGCTCCTAAGATCCTGGTGATTGTCATATGCGATGTGAATGAGTAAGCAGCTGCATTGGTGCGCCGCTTTCCCCACCAAAATGCACGGGAAGTGGGCTAGAGTGTGGAGCCGTCTCCACACTCCTCTCGCGCTATCCTCAAGGTGCTGCACTTGCGTCGATATCGAGGTACCGCAGCGATAAAAGCAATCAGACGTGAGAGAGTGCAGAAGTGGCGCATTAGATTATGGTTAAGCGTACAGCTAGCTCTGGGGCAGCGCGGCATGTTCAGAGTCAGGAGAGGGTGGCCCTGCAGGAGAGAGCACTGCTCTTTGACGCCCTCCCGTTCACTTTTAGGTGGGAAACGTGGCGCTAATGCAGTCGCGGGTTCACCTCGCATATGGCATGGTCCAGGATACACGGATTGAGTTTGTCTTCGAGAGGGTCAGACTTCTTCGAGGACATTTCTCTAATCAAATAAGCTAAAGCAGAAAGTTCCGAGGAATACTGAGCGCAAATACAAAAAACTGGGTGTGCTTAGTGAGGTTTTGTTTGAAGCGGCACTTTTCTACGCTAGTCTTTCGAGAAGTGTATCAAAAAGCTACGCTTCTTATAGATTAGAATGATGGAAATTTGGTACGGGGGGTTCTACAACAAGAGTGTTTTTCACAATTGAACCTTTAAGAGAAACATTCCAGGGATGTCTACCTCAAATCCGGAGCGCTGATCGAGTTTCTTGATGGATGGAACTGTACATATGCAGAGAATGGACAAATGTACAGCATTGCTTGCACAGCAACTTTAGTAAGTATTTCATAGGTGAAAATATTCACATTGTGACATGGTGCAACTCGTGTCTTTAAGAAGAACGAAAACACTTTGAATTGGACCTGTCCCAAATGGTTTTTCGCCTCTCTAAACTGCAAAGAAACATGGAAATGCTACAGATATAGCTGATGTTGTCACAAGGAGTCAGTTCGGTTTCAGGAGAGGTGGAGTGAACCTACCCTTGGCCGACCTAGTTTCCCTTCGGCAGCGTCAAAGTTCGCGCTAACGCGCGTTATAGTGTGTCTACGCAGGGCATCGCGAAGTTTCAAAACAGCCTTCTATCCACATGGCGGCTCCAAATGTTGTCTTTAAAGGCATAGGGCACGACAATTTGGTCGGCTCTCAAGAATAATGGACAGAAAATCTTTGTAATGTACGGCACGACACCAGCACTTTTCGACAAGTTTTCTATTTCCATCGTACCAGCAAACGTGCATCGCGCTTATGCATTCATATATCCATGTAACGACGTTTCAGATCATAAATGAAGCGATTAGAGCATTAGCGTCCTGGTAACTGTGCAGCCGTTCATGGGCTGGCGGTTGCGGTGGGCGTCTGGGATGGCACGCTGCATCTTGGTTAAGCGCTATTACGGAGCCCTTGGTTGAAAAAGGGCGTCTGCTGTTGGGCACGACATTCTTTTATGCTGGGCGTATCAACCCTTCATGCCTTGCCGACCTATCGTGTGACTTGCTTTCAAGTAAAGAGAATTCTGAAGGGGATAGGAGGGGGGATTCCACCGCACATG